CTTTCATACTTTCAATTCTGTGGTATAAATCTGTAACTTTGCTTGAAAGTCGTTTTTAAAGCCACTGTGGATAGGACAACATAGGAAGCAAAAACCACGTGTTAAGTTCTCAAAAGGAACCAAGACTATAATTATTATTTCAATCAATTCCCACTGATGCACAGTAAGGGTTGTAGGAATTCCATAGCAAGAAGGATAGGCTACTAGAATATGCTTCTGCTCCAACAGTAAGTACTGTTCCACCTTGATTGTACTTCCTGCTGTAACCTCTTGCAAGGTCAGCCTGCAACCTTTCCAGATGAGAATAAACAAACGAAGAATGTTAGAAAATTAACATTTCCTTAAATGGAAAATGTATATCCAATAATACTTTCCTCTTTTCACACTACAGCTATTACTCGACTGCTAGGGTTTCCCCATCTAAGCTGATTTTTTCTTCCTTGCTCTAGTCTCTTACTCCCCATTTAATTACCCTTGGTGATATCTGTCTCATGACACCCTCCACCTATGTCAGTGCACTATCTTGGTACTGTACATAAGCACCTCCTTTAGATAATATTGTCACTCTTTTGAGACTGACCCAATCCACAGTCTAACACTAGCTCTTAGTGGGGAGAAAGATGGGAGTGTGTGAATGTAGGTACATATTATTGGAAATACATTTTCAATCTATGACAATGTTAACTTTAAAAACATACTTACCTCCACTCACACTACAGGTAGAATCCCACACGGATAAGGCAGAGGGACCTGTGAGGGCATTATCCATACAGAATGCATCCCCTAGATTGTGGAAATGCCAATAGAAGATTAGCACCCTAGTGGGGGAACCACACTACATCCAGAAAAGGTATGCTTTTCACCCAGAACCTAAATTGTTAACTGTGGGTGCAATTTGACATGATCTGTCATCACCATTGGCCAGGTCCGAACCAGGTAGCTGAGGTCTCACTACTTGGGGTTGAAATTATAGGGCCATGGCCCTTAAATTCCACGTTGGTGGCTAAAGCATGTGGACTGCAATATATATATATGTGAGTGGATCCCAACCTATAGCTATAGGGTGATGTGTTTCAAAACACCGGAATAACGATGAGAAGGTAAGCAACACCTAAGTGGACAAACCTTCTCCTCAACTTGAAGAAGTCCAAAAGGTAACACCCCAAACCTGGGATGACGGGTTCCTGTATGTCATACTCAAACTGAGGAAACAGGGCTCAACTGGTCTGGAATTACGAACACTCATCCTGTGTGGGCAAGGTAAATTCCATTTGCCCCTGAAATTATGGGGAAGACATGGAACAAACTGTGCTCAACCAATAACCCAGAATGGGATCACCCTGTATTCGGAATTATGAGGACAAATGGACCCTTTTGCATGAACAATGTACTGAACCAATATTGGTCAAAAAAAAGAAGGGCCATGCTCAACATAACCGGAATGCTGAATGTCAAATCTGAACCGGTATCACAAGTAGGCTTCCTAGTGCTGCTCCTACCGACATCTGGGAAAAAGATATCCAGGGTCCTGGATAGGATGGCCCCCAACTTTGCCCCTTTTCTCCAAGAGTGGAGAAAAGACACTCAAACACTCTGGAAGAATAATCTCTGTCCACCACCCCAGTGACTGTAAACCGGGAGTGGTAATATCATCAAGTCTGCCTGTAGGTGGTCAAATGAAACACCTCATTTCTACAGAGTCTGCAAACTAGAAAAAGTATATTGTGTTAGTGGTTGCCAGTGCAGATTTGGTTTGAGAAAAGCACACCTGACTGGGCGACACTCACCACAGAGTGGGACTGTGTGAAAAAGAGGTAAGGAACCCTGGAAAGATTAGTAATGAAAATATTCACCCCTCAATATAATATTGTGAATATGGTTAATATAGCTACAGGGGGTAGTCAAAAACCCTCAGAGGAAGATACTGCCAGATCATGCAAGTAATGTGAGATAAAAGTATTGGGGAGGTCCACACACACACAAGACTGTACAATGTCCTCCAGTAGGCAATTCAATCGGGCCACTAAGGACATAATAATGTGATGAAATTGATGAGACATGACTGGCAGGAGTCTCCTCACTTCTAAAGAGAGCCCAGAATAAGCAATATGGATCAATTTTCATACCTACCTCTCAAGGTAACTGGAGATAAATACCAGGAAACTGAAGGGACACAAAGAATAGAAAGCCATTGTCTAGCACCTCTAAAAGCCATAGTATGGGCAACCTAAAACCTCAAGACCGTCACTGGACATAACAAATGATCAGGATGTGATCAGTCAGAGAAGTGAGAAATAGCAGTCAGATGAATAGGTAAAAAGGATTTATCCCCTTCTTTGACTGCTGTATTAGGTAAGAAGGACCTGTCTGGGTATAAAAGGACATAGGTAGAATAATAAAGCATCCTGTGCACATGAAGTACAAACAACTCCAACCGGTGATGCCAGCAGCAAGAAAAAATAAACCTTAAGGGAAGGGTAATATATGGTATATGAGGCTAAGGGCTTAAAAGGATGTTGAAAAAGAGCATGTAACAACACCATCTTTATATTTCAGTTAAGTAACTTACACAGTCATTTTGGATGAAGAACCTGAAACAACTTGAGGAGGCTGGAGAGCACTGGGGACTCAAAGAATTTCTGTCCCTTTGAGTATCTAAAGGTAGTTGAGAAGGCCACTTTAAATAGTGTTATTGTGGAAAATGCAAAACCCTTGTCAAAGAGTCAGGTCAAAAACCAAGCTATAGTTGGAATGTCTGGACGAATTAGGTTCAACCTCCTTGCAATACACCATTATTGATATGTGTGCTATTTCTGTTGATAAAAGTCCATTGTGGGATGATGCACAGACTGAGACAGGTACATGGCAACCTTAGAAGTTTAACCCCAATGCCGTGCATAGGACTGCATATCCTCCATGCATGAAGCTTGAGCTCTGGAATGGATAGGTGTAAGATGTCCAATCATGGCTGCCTCAACAGAGATGGCCAAGAGGAAGTTGAAAATGTGGGCACTCCTGAAGGTACCACAGAAGCAGAAATCAGGGTTAAGCTGGCCAATCTGGTGCTACCAACCAAATGTAACAAGGGGTTGAACAAATCATTGCTAGAACTCTGGGTAACAGACTACTAGGTGGGTAGGCATATAGGTGCAATATAGTCCAGTCTTGACTGAATGAATCTATTGTCAATGTCCGATGGTGATGCACCAGTGACCAAAATGTCAGTAGTTCAGTGTCCCAAGGGTAAGTCCAACAGAAAACTTGTTATTGAAGCATACATTTTGTTGGGAGAATCCGGTTGGGTCGAGACAGTTGATCCATTACCCCTGGAACATGGCAAACTAGTACGATGATATGAT